ATTATTATGTATTGATATATTAATACATTATTATCATATATTAATAAATTAATATTATAATTATATTATTATACCAGATTGGAAAAAATCAACACCTACTACTTGGTCGTTGGATACGCAAACGCTATTCACATCTACTAAGTGATTTATATTCCCCGTATGATATTTACATTCAAAGTACAGATGTAGACCGTACCTTGATGTCAGCAGAATCACAACTTGCTGGACTATATCCTCCAGTTGGTAAACAAATATGGAATAATATTAAATGGATGCCTATTCCAGTGCATACTATTCCTGAAGACAAGGATAATATTTTGGCTGCTAAAAAATATTGTCCTAGATATGATTATGAACTAGAAAAAATCCTTAATTCTCCAGAAATTCAAAAAATAAATAAAGAAAATGAAAAATTGTATGCATATCTTACAGAAAAAACAGGAAATAAGATTTCATCTCTAAGATCTGTTGAACAACTTTATGATATACTATTTATCGAGGTGAATTATATTATTCCATTCTATATTCCTTGCTTGAGTAGTAATACATTTTACATATTTTATATATTTCATATACTTAAAACTTATTACAGAATCTTTATAATAAAACATTGCCAGAATGGACAAAGTCGGTATATCCAGATAAACTTAAATTCATTGCTATAAAAAGTTTTACAACTAGTGCGTACAATAAAATACTTCAAAGATTAAAATCTGGTAAGTAATATTGTTTTTTTTATGTAAGAAATTTGGGCTATATATATTACAATTTGGACAATATAAAATACAGGATCCTTACTTGGAGAAATGATAGACCATATGGAAAAAAAATCGAAAAATGCTTTAGTACCTGATAGAAAGGTATGGATGTATAGCGCTCATGATGAAACTATAGCCAACATGTTAATGACATTAAATGTTTTTGAACCACATTGTCCTCCATATACTGCTACAATTTTGATAGAATTAAGAATAAATTTAAAAGATCAGTATTTTGTAACGGTAGGTATTTAAAATAATTAAATTAGAAATAACAGTGCAAAACTGTTGATTGAATGTGTTTTTTTTTTTTTTTTTAGATATCATATAAAAATACTAGCATAGAGGCACAATTCCTAACACTTCCTGGTTGTATTACAATGTGTCCCTTAAATCAATTTATTACACTAACAAAAGATGTTATACCTATAAATTGGGAAAAAGAATGTGTTATTGGATGGGAACAACTTAGACGTAATATGAATACAACAGCTATTATTGGTAAATAAATTCTTACAATAATATAAATGTTGTTTCCAAATTAAAATAATTCAAGATTAGTTTTCCATTTAATCCTTGCTTTGTTTCAGCAATACTGACATCTTCTATATTGATATTAGTTTTATTAGTTTTATCTATAATTGGCTTTATTTATTGGCATTATAAACGAGAACATAATCAGTATTATTTTCGATTAACGACGGATCCTATATAATTGGATGTAATATATGAAAAAATGATACATTGCTTTCATTATGATACTCAACGACTTCGTAATTAAATAATATGCAGAACTAAGATAAATAATAAATTGATATTTGAAAAATCAAATGTAAAAACATACATTAAGGAATTGTCGATAAAGGAAAGTAAATCTGACGCAACAACATGTTTACATAAAACATTGGAAAACAATGTTACATATTTTATGATGTTTGTACTTTTTTATTGGTGATCAAATATTTCAATTCATAATTCAATGCAAACATAATCGTTTGCAGAATTTGATCGATAAGAAAAATTATATACTATTTATATATATGAATTGTTGAGGACAAAAGATGTTATTAATAAGTTTTAATAGTTTGATAAAAGAGTGTAAGAATGGTGTATTACTTAAATTGATTTTTACGTGATGTGAACAAAAAAATAATCTGTGATGATTATAAATAGATTGTAAATTAATTCGGCAAAAATTGATATTAAAAATACTGTTTATGACGATAAAAAAAATAATAAATTTTAAATCATCGGTAAATTGAATTTAAAATATAGACATAACATTTATCTACAATACCTCAGAAAATATCTAGTCATACTCTATGTTACAATTAAAACATAAGCAGCAGAAATATATTTAAATACTTTATAATGTAATATCTATATGCGGCTATGTTTGTTATTGAGAGAAAGTAAAGAAAACAATATTTAATGTAAAACAGAAAAATTTTACTTAATCATAATTCAAGAATATTTTTCTTTTTCTTAAACTGAATTTTATCGCTATATTTTATCTTTCGATATTGATAGCGAGTAATAAATAGCGATAAATATCAATTGTATTTTAATTAAAATATTTTTATTAGATTTAAATATAAATAAAACAAATATTGCAAAAAATGACGATCGTTTCTGGTGTTTTTAACGAATATTTTCCTTTAGATAATTTTATTTATAAGTTGTAACAAAGAACATAAAACTACCTTGTACAAAGTACGTGCATCTTTGATTAATCAACTGATTCTTAATCACTTATGCTAGTACGTATTGAACATATATCTCATTCTTAAGTGAAAAAAAAATATTTGCTCTTTAATTAGTAGTATGAACAACATACACATATTATATATTATAATATTATAATTATATATTATAATAACATTATTATATTTTATATATATATTGATTACATTTTACATATTTACAAATTTTAATAGTTTTTTTGAATTACAATTCTTACATTTTAAATATGATTCATATATCATAAGTTTTTTATTTTTACTATATTTTACACAAACCACTTTTATATATATTTGAAACTTTAATATATTATATTTAATAATGCACACACACACACACACGCGCGCGCGCGACCATTTTGCCATTAATAACATCATTACGTCATTGTTCAAGCTCTAATTTTAGAAAACAATTTGAAGGAACAATTTAAATTATAAAAATTTATAATTTTTAATTTTGTACAATTTCAAAATGCAAATCATAAGTATTAAATATTCTTTGCTTTATTTGTATCAGATTTTAATCAATAATCTGGTATTGATATAAAATTTCCAGACCAATTTTCTTGAATATTAAATGCAGGATTGGACCTAAAACATCAAATAATTTTATATTAATAAAAAGTTAATAAGGCAACTTAAATTTTCTTCAAATGATTAAAATAAAAATTTTTTTAAAATTTCTTACCGTTTGTTAATTTTGGAAATCTAATTAACATAAGCTGCAGTTAAATCGGTTAAAAATGTGCATGCAAAAATATTTAGTTATCCATTCGCATGATAATTATTGACGAAAATATGTTTGAAATAAAAGTATAAAATAAATATGTTTTAAAAAAGTTTTTTATATTATTATATTAATTGTTATTTTTTATTTTTATTATGACTATAACAAGAAAAAAAATTAATTTGATATAAAATACATACCATAGATTTTAAAATCTTTTTAATTAATTAATAGTATTATGCATGATGCAAACGTTATTATATATTTAATGATGTTTCTGATGCATTGAAGAAGCTATAAATATAAAAAGAATAATTTCCGAAATCTTAATTATATTGAGTATTATTTAACAATAATGACGAATATAAAAAGACTGTTTTGTGAAAATATTAAACTTAAAAGTTTTTTCTTTTGAATTACAAATTAATTGCAAAATTAATTTAAAAATCAAAAATGTAACGAAAGAATATAAGTGCTAATATAGACTAATAACAAAGAATATAACAGTACATAATGATAAAATAAAAACACAGAAAAACATAGAATTTGTATCATATATTCATTAGTATTTTTTACAAAATGTATACAATGTTAATAAAGCATACGTGTCTATAAAATGTTTTCTATTTAATATATAATCATAATTATAATTTTATGATGTTCATTTTTATCTTAAAGTTGAATATGATTTCATACAGCAATTAATAATATTACATAAACATATATTTTAAAATATATTATACTGAATGATTTTACAGTGTAATGTTTGTTATTTTAATGAACACATATAATAATATTAATTTGTAACAAATATAATGTATTAATAAATAGGTTATTCTTAAGCGTAAGAGCAATTCACACGTACATGCCAATTACTATAATTCATTTAAAAAATATATTACAAATATTTGATTATTTTTTTACTGTGTTAACTGCACATCAAAAGAACTAACAATTATTTTTACAATGTTATATAGAATAATGTTTATAGAAGTAATTTATCAATATGTTATTTACTTTATATATTTTGGCACAAATGGATAAGGATAAGGATAATGTAAGACAAGAATTCATCTGATTTTCACATCTTGATTGCATGGTTGTTATTACTCGCAGCGAAAAAAAAAATTTTTATATGGAAATTGAATGGTGTCGAGAAAGACATATTACGTTATTATTAGTCTCTTTGTAGATACGTAAGATTATTGATTGATGCGTAAAGATCATATAACTGACTTGAAGATGAATATCAACTTTGCTTTTTTTTTAATGGAATCCTAGTTTCTTATACTTTACAACTTTTATCAATGTAACTTTTTATTCTCTATAAAAAAGTATCAATCTGTTTATGTCGAAAAATTAATTTAGAAGATATTTTAATTTTAATTTTATAAAATTTATACAAAGGACAAGGACAATAAACCTCAAATGGTTTCCAAAGTTTAAATAAAAAAAAGACAAGGATAATATGAACGCAAGAATACTGTCCTTGTCTTTTCTCATCTTTCATATCAATAATCTTACAGAATTAAAGCTAAAATATTTTCTAAACTATTCTTAACACAAAGAGGTTAATACTTTTTTATATAAAGAATAAAATTGCATTGATTGGTGTATTGATCCATATAAAAAAATATAGATTTCATTTAAAAAAAGAGAATTTGTCTTCGTATGATTTTTACGCGCCCCCCTACAAAAAAATTAACAACAAAATAACATGTCTTCCTTGAACCGTTCAATTTCCATATAAAAATTTTTCGCTATTAAGATGTCAAAATCAGGTGAAAGACTTTATATATATTTATATAATATTGTATATTGTATGTATGTGTGCGCGCGCACATCATAAGTAAATATACTATATATACTGTACAAATGGGAAAAGCAATTTCTTTTTTCATTAAGTAATAAATTTTAAGTAATAAATGATAATACAATTATGAAACAAAGTTTTGTTATATATAAAATACATATAATTCTTACCTTGCATATAATGCAGGATTTGATAATCCAAGTGTTGTATTTACGGGAGTCCCGATATATTTTCTTACAAACTGTAATAAAAATTAATAGTAAAATGAATAGATAATATAATTGAAGTGTTAATCATCCTATTTAATACACACCCAATGGTCACCGAGAGAAGTCGCGCCCATACTCACAGCCATATGGATCGTCAAATAAAGACAAAATAAAAGATATAAAATAGAATATATAACAATAGCAAGTATTATCAGCCAGTGATGTGGCAAATCATCTTGGACAGTATTTATTACAAAATATATATTTATAGTTATTACAACGACAGATAGTGCTGTCGCAATAATTTTATTAGTTCTAAAATTTAAAAGTATACATTAATTATTTAGTTATTAAGTTCTATGGATTTAAAAAACTTAAATTATAAAATAAAAAATGTAAAACATACAATCCGTTTCGGAATTCACCCATAATTTGAGAACTACTGGTAAATGCTATTGTTGGTAAAGTTGCAAAAGGTAATTGAAGAGTCATAATAGCGTTCAAAATATCGTTCATGCCAGTTAAATTGTCTATGTTACTGAAAAATGCTACGAGAAAGGTTGGAACAATAGCGATCATTCGCGTAAAGAGTACTCGTTTCCAACGAGCCCACTGCAGATTTAAAAATCCTTCCATTGCAAATTGGCCGGCATACGTTCCTGTCATTGTGGAAGATTGGCCAGCAGCAAAAATACCAACCGCCCAAATATACATTGCTGCCGCACCAAAGGCGCAACCCAAAAATATGCCACCCTTGTTGAGATCTACTAAAATGGTTGTATTTTTTTCCTATAATTGATAAAATGAGATGTAGTGAAAAAAATAAAATTTTCAGATATATAATTTTGTATTAACAATTTTTTCTTACTTCAAATGTTTGCATTCCTATTGTATAATTGTTATTCTTACATAGATTGTACTGAAATATAGAAAAATGAATAGATACATTACATACATAATTATATTGCATATATAATTTCATTTATTATACTTACAATTTCTAAATTAGTTTTTTTAAAAAGACCATGTGCAAATACCGCGACAACAAATACATTAATTATAAAAGATACCAGAAGTGCGATACATGCCTCAATGAAATAATACATATTTGCTTCTTTTACTTTTTTAGATTCTCTACGATCAATGTCTCTTGACTAAAAAATTATAAATTGTATCATATTTATTTAACACCTAACAAATACTCGATATATCGGAATGCCTACTTCTTCAATTTCATAAAAAAGATAATTTATACTCTTTGTTCTTTCCTTACTTTAACAAGAGCACTGTGAAGATATAAATTATGTGGCATTATGACTGCACCAACAATTCCTACAGCTTTTAGTAACATATTTCTGTCATAATCCTTATACCAAGGTATAAACATTCCACTTATCACTTGATCTTGAGGTGGGGCAGAAACAACATACTGAAATATAAAAATAAAAAATTATTTTGGATCACATATACATAACATACGTACATATAGATACATGCGTGTGTATATATATATATATATAT